GAGTCTATAAAATGCTGTTCCTTGGACAGGACTCTTATATTAAACTTCACCCACCCAGGGCTTAGGGACCATCATGGAAGAGGGGGTGGAAGGATTGTAAGAGCCAGGGAGGAGGTGCATGACCATATGGAAACAGAGTCCTATATGTTCCAAGGAACTTGCTCATATGATTCAACGGCAATGGTTTCAGCATACACAAGTCCCATGCAAACTCAGGGAGACAAAATCCCAGAATAGAACTGGGGAAATGAACAGCAGACCCCAATCTTAGCTGAAGAAATATTGGCAACTGATTACTGCTAGGCAAGGAAGAGTTGATCTTCCTAAAACAAGGGACTCTAGATAGGCTGACTAGGCTTCAGTGGATGAAATTGCCTTGGGGAAAATCTGGGAACACTGACTTAACACAGTGTGCCTTAACATGGATGACAGAGAATAGGTACCATGGCCCAACATGGTCCCAGTTTCATGAAGTTTTTATATTAAGAGAACAGAGAAAGTTCATAAATCCAGACATTTTTCAAACATTTCTGGAAACATTAAGCAGGCAGATACAGCAAGTGATAAAATCTCAGCTATAGGCCCCAGATGCTGTCTGATGTCACTCAGCCTTTTGATTGATGTAGCTGCTTCTTCATTAAATTGATTCAGTCAGTCACAAGATGTTAATCCAGACACAGGTGAATAAGGAGTGGCTATTCGCTGGTGTGGTGGTTTGAATGAGAACATTCCCCATAGACTCCAAGTATGTTTAAGTTGCTGAAGTTTGTATATATCCCACGTATGAGTCCTCTGTTGCATGTACAGCTGGCTAAGATTTTCTTCCATTCTTAGACTGTGCCTTCAACAAATAGTTTCCAGTTTCTTTTCTGTATGCATGATTTTTTATTTCATAGTGTTCTGTTGGTCAGTTTTGGGCCTTAATTCCTAATCAGAGGTTTTCCTATTCAGAGATTCCTTACCTACCTATGTCTTGAAATTTCCCAACGTTTTCCTCTTATTTTTTCAGAGGTTTGCATTTTATGTAGTGTGTTAGTTTTATTCTTCTTTTCTATTTCCTCCCTTCTATAATAAAATTCGTCTCAGTGCAAAATAAAATTGCACACATAAAAACTACAAAAATAATATATGCTGCTGAGATGGATGGAGAAATGATCACTGATATACTGTTGGTAGGAATGTAATTAGTACTTTTACCTGTGGAAGGGAGTACAGAAGCTCCTCAAAATGACAATAACTAGAATGACCATATTTAACAGACTCCTGAGTATACACCTAAGGGTGCCGGTCACTATAAATCATGTCAGTACATAGTCACATTTATTGTGGGATTGTTTGTCATACCTATGTGATGTAGATAGCATAAGTGGCTGTCAATAGACATAGACTGAAAAAATGTGGCAAAATACACATAATAGAATACAATTCAAAAAGAACATCACATCTTTTTCAAGGAAGTGGATGGAACTATATTTTAGTATGCAAAACATAAAAAGTCAGACTCAAAGGCATATACAACAGGCTTTTTGGCACGTGGGAGAGAAAAAAGATGATATGACAGTAGAGAAATGGGAGTCTATGTAATTCTTCTGAAAAATATCTATAACCTGTAAATGTACTTTGATTATGTGTATATGGATGTGTCTTTGTGTATTCTTGTGCAAGTGGGTTTAATGCTGGCAGAGATTTGAGGGAGTCATCAAGTGCCTTAAAGCTAGAGCTCCACAACTTGAGTGCTGGAAACTGACCTCTGCAGAGCAGTAAGTGCTCTTAGCTACTAAGCCATTTCTCCAGCCTCTATGATTATACTCTGAATATTTAAAGAAAACACACTCTGTTGAGGATGTAAGAAACAGGAACCATTGGGGCTAGAGAGCTGGCTCAGTGGTTAAAAACCCTGGTTGTTCTTGCAGAAGACCCAGGTTCGAATCCTGACACCCACATGGCAGCTGACAACTGTCTGTAATTCCAGTCCCAGGGGATCTGAGGAGGGAGCATTGCACAACATGGGTGCACTTATCTACATGCAGGCAATATACACATACACATAAAATAAAAAAAATAAATAAAAAATTTTAAAAAAGAAACAGGCACCAGAATACATTGTTGCTCAGAACTGACTGAAATTCTGTAAAGATTTTAGATTAGTGTGGATAATTTAGTTTTATGTTTGCTTTTGATTTAGCAATTCTGGCAGAGGAAATTATTCTAAGGTTATAACATATCCTTAAATACTGTGAAATTTTAAAATATATCCTTATTGATTTTTTTGAAAATATCAGTGTA